GCTTTAGGATTAGGAACCAGGAGTCAGAGGGACAGTTTTGTCTCCTCCACTGACCCCAGGACCTTGGGTGAGAGTCTTTGCCCCCGCCTCTCTCCTCATCCTTCTGCCACCTCAACTCCCCATAAGCATTTGCACCATCTCTTCTTGTGCACCCGAACAGTACCCAGCACGACAGAGCCCCAGGACCTTATGGAAACACATCACTATTAACATCCTCTTATTCTTCTAGCCCTCCAAAAAACACTCTGCCCCCAGCACATCCCAAAGTTTGAAGACCTTTCAAGATGGGAAGCAAGCTATTAGGAAGTCAAATTTGGTTACATAAAAGGCAGGTTTTGCAGTGGCCGTAACAAACCGGCCCTGAAGATTGGCATGGCTTAAAGCAGCAAGGCTGGGCAATGAAACCTGTGGGTTGGCTTCCTTTCTTCACTGAGCCACTTCCACCCTCTCACATACGTTCTCCTCTCTGCCAAAGAGCACCGTTTTTATCAATGTGCCTATTGCAGTGTTGTCAGCAGCTCCTTAAGGTTATTCCCTTTTTCTTCTCCGTTATATTCATAAACACTGCGCAGAATTGCTATGGTTTCTGTTACCGCCAGTCCAATTGGTATTCAGTGCAGGTCCTCTCACCTTCACCATTTGGGTGACCTTTACTTCACAAGGAAGGTCTCCTGCCATCGGCCTGTTCAATCAGATGTCACACAACGCGCTGGGCAAGAACACCAACCGCTAAGCAAAAGAGGGCTCTGTGGAACCAATTCATCTGCAAAGGCTGTCTGAGAGACAGATAAACAATGGTAATTATTTCAAAACAAATTGGAACCAGAAAGCACAACCCAGCAGTGTAACTGCTAGACAAAAAGGAAAGCCACAAAAAGAAGACATTTCAGCTCCCAGTGTCTTGCATACTCCAGTATCTTCCTCTAGGCAAATATTTTTCTACCTTTCTTGCTCTCCAAAGTTCAAAACCCTCTTACTTTCAAGGCAGTTTCTTTTATATCATTTGACAACTTATGCAAGGGGCTGCTCACGAATGGGAGCAACACAGTCCTAATCTGGTAGTAAGACTTTCTCTCTTGGCCAAACTAATATTCTAAATACTGTACCTAAGCGACTTTGCACAAAGCTACACTACTCACTGCACAGCCAGGCAGCCGAGCAGGATGCATGGTGCTTTCCTCCGAAAGCAAGCACGCTGTGAATGGGCTCAGCAGCTTCATGTACCAATCATGGGATCATGATCATGGGATCCCCAAAATCCTAATCCAGACACTGAACAAAATCCCCATGGCTTCCCCCTAACTCCGAAAATAAATGTTCCTACTACAACAAAGAAGTCACAATACACAAAAGTCAGAAAATGGAGCTTGGATACGACATGACCCCAGCTTTGCCTGTGCAGTGGGAATGGGAACATCCCCACACTTTGCCTCTTCATAACAAAGCCAGAATTTTCCTTGTGGCACTTCCTTGGCTGTTGAGGTACATGTTCTTGCACCAGGCAACCAGGCTCGCCAAGACATCTTGTGCCATACGCTTTTAATGCTAGTTGGGGTCTTCTAAAGAAGCGGAAAATTGCCTGGATCTTTCCAAGACACGTAGGTGCAGACATGCGTACTTTAGCTGATCAAAAGACAGCTTTGTGTTGCACAAAAGGAGCTCCTCTATTATAGGTACTGAACAATTGTATGTGTGGTAAGTGGGTCAGAAGAACAGGTCACAACCAGCATACAGAACCTGCCTGGCTTAGAAAGCAGAGAGTCAAATGCCCCTGTGCTGTGGGAGGTGGGAACATCACTGGCTGCTGCAGCTCAGTTAGCAAAGGTTGGTGTGGAAGTCAGGCTCTGAAAAATGGGCAATGCAGGCGTCAGCAGCCAAGATTTTGCACAACAGTCTCGTGAAATGCTTAGCGTGAGCAGGGAAAAAGACCGTGTGCCACATTCTTTGAATTGAAGCATCTCTCTGCCTTTGCTATCACCGACACGGGCAGCTTTATGCAGTCTGCGTTATTCCATCAGAGGACTGCCGAGACTACTCCTGCCCGGCCTGGCTGCAGCCTGCATCCACAGTGCTGCTCGGTGGGCTGCTGCCACCACAGTGCTGACACCCACTTTGCAGCAGCGTGCTGCTCTGCACCCCCAGGCTCCCTGCTTGCTCCCCAGGAGCACTTTCACCTGCACGCTCATCATGGTCTTATCTGTTACTACAGATCTGAAAAAAATCGCAGGGTAGTTTATTCCAAAGACAAAAAAAAATTTCTTTATTTCCTCTGCTATTTCCACCTCCTTGTGCCTGGACTGTACAGCTCAGTCTTTGCTTGCTTGATGGAGGACTTCTTTACAGCAGACAAGCTCTTTCATCTTTACCATGATCAGAACAAGTCAGTGCGCCTTTGCTATTTCACAGTCGCTTTTAAACTGGGGTGAGCTGAACTTTCTATGCAAAGATTTGACCTCTTCTGAAATCCCTTGATCAGCAATTTCCCCTGCTTGCTCTTTCACGCTTGAGGCATTATGAAACACTGGAAACTACAGATACTTCCATAAGGAAGTTAGTGAGAAAATTCAAATAATCAACTCGGTCCCAAGCGACTTGGGGTCTCTTTCCAAGTTTGAAAGCTCTTTCCTAGCAGAACTTTTCCTCTTGAAAGTCGTCTGGTTAGCAGGCAGCTGATGATATAGCTTCTCTGGAGCCTGATTATACTTCCAGCCCAGGGGTAAGTAATAAAAAAGCCTGCCTGGCTCTGTGAGGTCTGAATCAGGTGCTAACACTGAACATCTGCTGGGGCCTCTGCTCTCCTCTCCCCCACCCTCTTTCCATGTGCTGGGCATTGGAGCGTTCCTCATTTTATGGCCTGTGGCAACGAAAAGCCAATTTAAGAGGGAAAGCATTGCTGACAGCATTATCCAAAAAAAACAGGCTCTGCTTTAACTGCTCTTCATCCAGGACTTTGGCAAATCCAACACTGCCGTGACATGCTGAAAAAAATCAGTGTTGTGTGGCAGCCTTTGGAAATAGTTACCAACAAAGCACTCACGGCCCAACCCAGGCCAGGCAAACAGACTCTACACGTACGTTTATTACTTCATACAACCAGATTGCTTATTGTACAAAAATTAACAGTGCCACCCAAGAGGGCCTTCACAGATGTTTAGAAAGAGACACGTAAACACAGCTTTAAAACATGTTTTTTTTTCTGCAATTTAGGTACAAACTACTGAAGCACCACACATTGTATGCCTATATAAACACATACACATGTGTATGCATGTAGTTCCATACAGACACAGACTGAACAAGTTGTCGCAGCAGGCTGGGATGTGCTCAGACATTGCTCTCGGAGGAATCCAATGTCCCTACACAAGGGTTTCCCCCATGGGACATGAACTGGGCTTACACTGAGCCGTAAGCTCATCCTTATGGCCTCAAGTTGCTGCTGCTGTTGGAAAAAATGCACAGGAAAAATTTATTTGGGGTAGAAATCATGACCTTTAAAGACCATGGCACCTGAATAATTCCTACTAGAGGGGATGCCCAGTACAGTGAATTTTGCTTAACATCTAAGAGGAAAGTTTAATGCCTTAAAGTAGAAGGTTCAAATTGCTAAGGAACGTTTTTGCT